CTACTGTGTGAAGCCAGGTGACTTTTTGGTCCTGTCAGTACTCATAATCCACAGACAGCTAAGTTCTATTGTGCTGTCATCTACATTGCTGTCAGCAGTGCTGTAGCCACAAGGCACTGYRCAAACCAAAAGCTTTCAGAGATGAYCCTGCTGGGAGAGCAGTGCAGCAGCTCCTCCTGAAAGCCACTCTGGTGTAGCAGGGCCAGTTCACTCACTTTGTATTCCCCCATAACACAGGTCCATGAGATGAGCTGATCAGAGGAGAGTATCCRTGCTCATGAGCCAGCCAGAGACTTTTTCTAGACATGAATAAACCAATACTGACACAAGTCTGAACAGCCTGCAATCAGACTAGAAAATCGTAGAATATTCTAAGTTGGAAAAGACCCACAAGCTCCAGCTCCTGGCTCTACACAGAACAGCTCCAAGAATCATGCCACATGTCCAACAGTGTAGTTCAAATGCTTCTTGATATGACAACCTTGATATGAAAAGGCCTGGGGAGCCTTTTCCAATGATCAGCCACCTTTTGGGTGAACAACCTTTTTCTAATATCCAATCTGCCCTAGGATGATGCTAATAAATGCCCCTGGAGGCCCCAGGTTACATTTGGTGCAGTCCTTAGCTTGGAGAAATCACAGTCTAAATGAAAGAGACAAGTTACAGATGAACGGATAAGGGTTATTGTTAACCCTGTTTCATAAATGGAAAAGAACTGAGACTCAAAGCCTGGTTATAGCTTACATGATATTCTGCCTTTCTGGTWCAGAACAAGTAAATAAGAGTCAAGGTATGAAGAGGCTTCAAAAGTCTCACAAGAAACCAGGGAAAGAAACTCAAGTTCCTCTTAGATCCAGTTTATTGTCTTAATTGTAAACTTGCCCCCACAACTCCCCAACACATCCCCCCCCATATTTAGAGGAAAACTAAGAGTGATATCAGTAGAGAAAATAACAGAGCACTCTCCTAAACATCTGGTTTTCTTTTATAAGCTGAACCTTAACCCATACAAGGCTTATATGGCCATATAAGCCACAATTCTGCCAGCTTGTCCAGAAACGTTGTCCCACTGAACAACTAATCTAGGACTGTCAGATTTGAGCTCACAAGTGGAAGAGAAAAAAGTTTTCTTCTTACTCCTGCAATAGCTAGCCCTGCCAAAACAGAAAAACACWACTTGAGTGCCATCTAGAGGAATGCACTCCTCTACAGAAAACTGTTTCGTTGTTTGAATATGTAACTTCTTACGAAGATTTTCAAGCTAACTCTAGTAAGGAAACGGGGTGAGAGCACGAGGCACCTGCATGTTCCTTAGTTGAACATTACCCATTTTTACGTGTATGTGAATACTCACAACATTTCAGGGATATCTGTACATGTAACTACATGGCTTAAAAATTCTTCCCCAGTAACACAAAGCATTGATTTGTAATGATGGATAAGATACTCTAAAGAATCTTGGAAGTGTCTGGAAGAGGTCGCTAAGGAGCAGCCTGGAAATCAAAAAATGGAACGTTGATGGGGTTCATCTCTAAAAGTCCTGATTAGTGTGGGGATTTTTGTGTATTCACAGAAGTGTAAATCATATTGAGTGGCACCACCCCCGGTGTCAGGCAGAGGTGCACAGCCCTGGCAAGGCCCATGGAGCCCCAGCCCAGTGTCACTCACATCACTCACTGGAAATTCCTAAATGCTTTTAAAAATCTGTCCTCACTATTGTAGATGATGATATGCATGGATCAAATCTTAAGGTGGTTTATTAAAAATGTTTAAACACATGTAAGCAAACACTGTTAATGGAACATTTCGGTTACAATATATAGTTTCCTAAGATAAAATAGCACAGCAATGATGATCTGTGTCTCTGATGTTTGCTTTAATATCAGACAGCTTGTCATGYAACACTGTCTGAATTTCATTAACTCTGGGAATGAGGTAATCACATAAAAAAATTAAGCATCACACACTGACTAATGGTTTTCAACCATCAGAAATTCTCATGTCATCAATGTGGATGCCATGAAGAAGTGATTTCTCTGACAAAGGCAAAAAGATGAAAGTCCCTTGATTTGCACAGGAACAAGATTCAAATATATTTTCTTGTTTCTATTTCAAATGTACATTTCAATTCACTTCAGAGGCTGTCTCTCCAGTTACAGTCTTTCTGTCCCTGCACATCTTCCAGATTCACCGCATATTTGGAATTCCAGTCTCGATCAAAAAGGTCTTTCAACTGTTCCTGGACAGGCAGTTGTCTGCTTTGCGGGTTGGTCGAATTCTGTTTGATAATTAGTCCCACGCCAGCTGTATCAGTGAAGTAGTTTTCTGACCAATTGGAAGTCCCTATGCAATGGAAAAGTAGCTGATTAGAAAGCATTCATTTCCCAGTGTTCTGTTTGATCTCTGGGCTTTGTTGATTTGCTCTATGACCACAAATCTCATTAGGACCAACAAGGCAGCAAAAATCAGGTCACCTCCTTCTTACACCAGACCTCAGGTTTCRGAAACTTGGTATTAACTGCAACCCTGAAGGTTCATAACCTTCTGATTCCTTAGACCCATGACAGAGTGCACAAATCTACTCTTAAACATGGTAATAAAGTGCAACATTTGAGTACTAAGAGGGGCAAAAGCCAGTCTTTGACATAGGTTTCTGTGTTTAAAGAAAAAACATCCTTAGCGGACTTAATTGTCTTTACTTGTTAAAGGAAATCAAGAGGAGAAACTGGACTCTTGATCAATATACCCTGGGGAGCTCTTCTGAGCTTGGCATGCAAAGCCTGCTTGTGAACCAGGCAAAGCTGGGAATCCAGCTGCAGACATTGCCTAGGGCTCTCTCTGAGGCTACCTCAATTCACAAAATCAAGCACTATGAAAAATACCCATTTTATCACTTAACAACACTTCCCCTTGTGATGGCCTTAGCCAGGAAAATCTGTCAATTCCAGAAGGTGCTTAGGCATGAAAACAAATTACCTGCATATCTGCCTTCGAAAGACAAATCGGTATGAAACAAGTTATTAAAGTATTGAAGGCCACTGGAGAAGCAAACCCTCAGCCAGTTGTTATTTACTCGTGTGTATTGCTGGGAGGATGAGCTGAGTGAAGTGACAGAGCACTTTCACATTCCCTTTTCTCCCAATAAAAGAGTGAAACGTAAACACCATCCCGGCTTTCAGGAACAGCGCACAGTTGACATGRCTGTTTTCTCAGTTCCTTTCCTAGAGTTCTGTTCAACAAACAGTGCACAGAATTAAATCCTCCCAGCAATTCCTTTTTATTAAATCCCGATAATGTTATATACTGGAGCATCAGCAATCCCTGTGTCATTCTGAGCACACAGGCTGTGAAATCCCCGCTGTGCTTTTCACAGGCTGTGCACTCAGCCTTGCTATGCTCTGTTCCTAATGGTTCACAATCACAGGAAATAATCTTTTACTGAACTTGACCTACATTGTTGTCACYCCTTCATATGAGCACTTCTTTACCTAGGACAGACTTTGCTTTATGTGGCAAAATGAGGTATTTTTTGGTATTGAAGTTGATCCAATCTCAGTCTCAGTCCAATAGATCTGGAATTACTGAAAGTATTTGGAATAATGGAATACATACCGATGTAGGCTACTTTATCAGTGACCATGTATTTGTTGTGATTCACTCTCCCATAAGGAATGTTTGTGTGATTCAGAACTGGAACAATGAAGAGTTTCTGGAGGGAAAGAAATTAAAAATATAAACAGAAACACTAGACTGAGCAACAGACTTCATGATTGGACAGTGAAGGTTTTCTATAGTTTCAATGAATAGAATAGTATGGGAAGAACAGAAGAGAACATACTCTGTTATTAAATACACCATAAAAGAGATTTTACTCCCATCCAAGAAAACTACCAAATAATACTTGCACTATACATAAAATTGGATAAGCARTTGAGATCAGATACAGATAATGTTTGCTTCACAATGTTCCATTAGTGGCACAGCTATTATCATTACAGGGCAGACAATTAAATGCAGTTTTAGGCAGCTGTTTAATAGATCTGCATTTACCACTGATTGCTGCTCTTATTTTGCGCAAGAATGGCTGATCACAGACATGAGGGGTACTGCAGGCAACCATAATGCCTAACTTTTTGTGTAAACTCTTACCAAAATCTACATTTCTGTCCCGTTCCCCCCACTTTTTTTTTTTTTTTTT